CTCCCGTGATGACAGAACGGTGACGCGCGGCTGCGTTGGAGAACCACTAGCCGCGGGCGGTGTTTCCTCACCCCGAACGGTGACGCTAACGCTAACGCACGACGCAACGCGCTTCACGTGCTTAGTGCAGGAACTTTCCACGGTTCAGCACTAAGCCGCGAGCAGAGGGGGAGTCACACCTTGTGGACGGCGTCTCTCCTACGGTTTTAACCGGCCCCGTTCGCTGGTATGAAACATGGCTGAAACTGGCTGAAAAACACTATTTTTGTTGAATTGTTGTGAGAAAAAAATACTGTTCCGGCTGAAAAAACAAACCGAACAAGCCGAATATAGGGTAAGCCGAACGGGGCCACTGCAACTGCATGGACGGGATTAGGCATAGCTAGGCTACATAGCAAGGGAAACGCCCATGCATCGTGCAACACATCAAGTATATCCTGTGTAGATACTTAAACCAAAAGTGACTCGAATACTTGAGAGTACAGAAATGCATAATGGTTGCTCTTACGCAACCATACCCGCACCATCCGAGAACCAAAGCTGTTCACCACACAAAGCTCTTTGTGATTCCAAAGAAATAAGAAAGAAGAAAAGGCCATCGATATTTTTTTGTCGCCTTTTCATAAGTTATATAAGCCCCCAGCAAAATACTTTTCCAAAGCATGGACCACTACTCGGTATAAACAAACAACGGCTAGCTACATACATGTCCTACAACGACGAGCAGTGCCGATCACATGATGACATGAGTAGCTGCATCATTGAATGAAAGCATACAATGTGCAAGCAAGACTCAAACAGGTAGGCCCAGCCATAAATCTATATAAGAATCATGGCAACACATCACGAGATTGAACTGCATTCATCAGACAGTAAACTGGATTTTGTAACTTAAAACATGAAATGTTGGAAATGCAATAGTCAGGTAGAACAGTCAATCTAATTATAGACCACACAGAAAAAGTATCGTTGAACCGTTTGACAAAAAATGAATATGTCCAACTAAAAAAATCAAATATCATCAGTACAATAAATAAAACAGTTCATGGAGAGAGAAAAACAAAAGAGAACAACACATTTTTTGTGTTTCCTTTTTTTGATTGGGAAAGAAATTGATTCAGATAAGGGTACAGATAGATAGGTTACGTCTATACAATTGAGGCATACATCGATGATGCCCAGATTGTCACCAAATACCTCGTCCAAAATCTGCCCATCTTGTTCTACTTGATAAGCATCTTCCACCCAACACAACCAAAAAGTTGTGATTATTTCGAATGTGAATCCTCTTTCAGATTGCTGGAGTCCATAGAAAATTGCTCAGTCTGTCAGTCTAGTCGCATATGGCGAGGACCAAATCCAGTTACCAGAATGATGGTCATATTCTGATGCCAAACTCCCCCACATTTTCTTATTTTTAGCTTTTTGTATTTTCATGCTTTTTTTTGGACAGTGCAGCAGGAAGGAACAAGAACAATCTTCTCAGCTTGCTGTCCATATTCAGCCATTAGGGGCGATGAGTAAAAGATACCATTCGGTTCTCATTATATCAGCTCAACTATAATTATAATATGCTCCCCTATGTTGCACTTGCACGGGAGAAGCCGGTCTCCCGGATGCGTCTCGGCGACCCGCACGTTCCGCCCGAGCCCCGGGCCGCGGTCGCTGTCCACCCGCCCCGTGCGCGCCGCTAGCTGTGGCTTGGCGGATCAGCAGCAGCAGCAGCCCAGCTGCTTCGTAACCCCCCACATGTCCCTTGTGCGTGCTAGCGCCAGCACGCCACTAACTATTACCACCGCTGTTGACAGTTGACGCCATAGTGGTTTTTTTAATTAAGCTTTGGGTTGGGCAGTCCGCAGTCGGCACGGGCAGGTTTACGTTTACCATGGGTGGTTAGTAGGAGTACGCTACTCCTAGGTTGGGCTCGCGTGTGGTGTGGGTGTGGCCCGTCCCGCTCCCGCCCGTCCTTGTTCATGAACAATATATTCAAATCGACACTCCGGCCACCGCCGAGAGCTCGCCGCCGACGCCCAACGGCGCGGTTTCAGTTCTCAGATCGAGTTCAAGGTTCAACTTCGGAAACACGCAATACATAAGGAGCCAGCTGGTTACATGGGCCTAGGAAATAAGAATTGTAGACGGGCCGGTCACAGTTAACTCCACTCTGGCCCAAGGACGCGTGGGTTGGGCTTCCGACTCCTCTTCCTTCCCTGAACACTCCCAGCATCTACAGGTTCGTGATCAGAATCGACTCGATCATCACTTGGAGCCCTGGTGTTTGTGACACACTACTAAGGCCTTTTTTTTTTTCTAGAAACAGTCCCACGCTGCCGCTTCCTTCAGCTTTATTAACCTGCCGAGTGCCGACTAAACTAATTCGTAGTATTCCCTTCCAAATGCTTATTCGAGTCACCACTCACCACCGCGTAGGGATTGGCTTGTGTGTTGTTTATAGCGGGCGTGGCGTAGTGGGCTGTCCGCTGCCCCCACACAGCACAGCAGGATCCAAATCCAATCCAATCCCTCACCTGCAAAAACAATTTGGGTCTATTTATTTTATCTCTCGTCTTCTCCAAGGACGGGACGACGTGACCCCCTCAAATGGACGCCACCTTTTTTCTTCTTCTGGTACTTGTAGCAGCAGCGAGATTTTTAGGCGTCTCTCTATCAGCAGAGCGCATCCTTAAATCGCACCTACAGTAAAGGCTAGGCTGTGTCACGCAACGCAAGAAGGTTCAGGGGTCCCACGCCAGCGAGACCAAATCCAAGGTGATATTGTTTTCAATATCCCAGCCACGCCGGAGCCGCGACACATGCGTCTACTGCTATCACCATGTTAGCCGCCACAAGGGGGAAGAAAGAATCGTCTTTTTTTTCCCCCTCTTTGCTTCATTCACTTCCCTCGGTGCAAAATAATTGGAGTGAGAGGGTGCAGAGAGATCAGCTGCTAATCCTTTGGCCAGAAAAATAAAGATCAGCTGCTAATCATGGTCCCTTTTTTATTAGCAGCGAATAGCCCTAATTTAGGTTCTGATTTTGTTGCCCTGGTGCTGTGCACGACAGCGACTGCTTGCTACTTACCATGCGTTTTTTAAGAAAATGGACCAACAGACGGATCGAATTGTCCCGGCATGTATCACACGTTCACACAGCTGCTTATTTGCAAAATGATGTTGCAAAAGCACCTTCGCGAGTGAGGCTGTAGCTAGCCGCAGCGACTGTTTAACAGCCAGCCGAGAACAGCCTCACTCACCAAGTGGTGTTGACCCTCGATATTTTTTCCTGGCACGCGTACCCGTCAAACCTAGAACCGTCCTGGAGCCAAAAATGTCAGGCCTGGTTTGATGCCGTGTCCATGACTTATCACCCATGATGCAACTGGATTAGCTTTAAGACGTCCACAAGGCACCCCCAGCATAACCTATGTTCCCGTGATGACAGAACGGTGACGCTCGGCTGCGTTGGAGAACCACTATCCGCGGGCTGTTTTTCCTTAACCCCGAACGGTGACGCTAATGCACGACGCAACACGCTTCACGTGCTTAGTGCAGGAACTTTCCACGGTTCAGCAGCACTAAGCCGAGAGCTGAGGGGGGCCGGGGGCGTCACACCGTGTGGACGGCGTCTCTCCTACGGTTTTAATTAGGCACGATATGATAACTGCAGCTCCATGGCGCGGGGGCTTAGGCGTAGCTGGACTACATAGCAAGTATATAAATATATCCTGTGTCCATATACTTAAACCTAAAGTGACTCGAATACTTGAGAGTACAGAAATGCATTATGCATAACGGTTGCTCTTACGCAACCATACCCGCACCATCCGAGAGCCAAAGCTGTTCACCACACAACGCTCTGTGTGATTCCAAAGAAACAAGAACGAAGAAAAGGCCATCAATATAATTTTCAGCCTTTTTAAGTTATAATAAAACCTCCAACAAATTACTTTTCCCCAAGTATGGGCCACTAGCCAGTAAACAACTAATGGCTCGCCATATACAACTGATGACATGAGTAGCTGCATCTTGAATGAAAGCATATAATATGCAAGAAAGATTCAAACAGGTATGCCCAGCCATAAATCTATAAGAATCATGGCACGACATCACGAGATTAAACTGCATTCATCAGACACAGGATTTTGTGACTTAAAACATGAAATGTTGGAAATGCAATAGTCATTATAGACCACACAGAAAAAGTATTGTTAAACCGTTTGACAAGAAATGAATGTCCAACTAAAAAATCAACTATCAGTACAATAAATAAAACAGTTCATGTTGAGAGAAAAAAAACAAAAGAGAACACCACATTTTTTGTGTTTCCTTTTTTTTCTTTTTCTTTTTTTGGTTGGGAAAGAAATTGATTCAGATAAGGGTACAAATAGATAGGTTACTTCTATACAATTGAGGCATACATCGATGATGCCCAGATTGTCACCAAATACCTCGTCCAAAATCTGCCCATCTTGTTCTACTTAATAAGCATCTTCCATCCAACACAACCAAAAAGTTGTGATTATTTCGAATGTGAATCCTCTTTCATATTGCTGGAGTCCATAGAAAATTGCTCAGGCTGTCAGTCTACTCGCATATGGGGAGGACCAAATCCAATTATCAGAATAGTCATATTCTGATGCCAGAAGGGCAGGCCTGGTGCAGTGGTGAGAGCTGTCTCACTGAGTCACCAGGTCATGGGTTCGAAGCAGCCTCTCCGCAGATTTTGCGGGGGGAAGGCTTGCCTCGGTTTTTCCCTTTCCCAGACCCCACTCATGTGGGAGCCTCCGGCATTGATTTTTTCATATTCTGATGCCAAACTCCCCCACATTTTCTTATTTTTAGCTTTTTGTATTTTCATGCTTTTTTTTGGACTTTCTTTTGTACAGAGCAGCAGGAAGGAACAATCTTCTCAGCTTGCTGTCCATATTCAGCCATTAGGGGCGATGAGTAAAAGATACCATTCGATTCTCATTATATCAGCCCAACTAATAATATGCTCCCCTATGTTGCAGGTGGGAGCACCTGTTCAGAGGAAAATGGCACACTCATGTCAGTTTTCGCACCTGCACTTGAATCAGTGCCTGAAGGCTCCCGTTTCCACTGTAAACTTCTAGCGCCAGCTTTCATCAGAGCACGCCCTCTAAAGGAACCACCGGGGAGAACAGCTCTTGGGTATGCCATCCTACCATGCCTACCATATAATGATGACCGTCCACTGCCAGGCCAACCATAAAAGTGAGCTGCTTCATGAGAACTTCGCCGGACGACCTACATTAGAAGGAAAAGCAACCAAACATCACCTTAGTCATTAGTTTCTGGGAATCTAAAACTACGCTGAGCGGAGCAACAAGATGCCAGTATAAGAACATAAAACTTCACCAATCAAGAGAACTATCATCTATATAAAATTTAAACCTCTACCAAGATACCATGTTAGACAATGCCATGCCTATTGGTAGAAAAGTGCAAATGGCAGTCTAAAAATAGTTCAAAAGATAAAGAATAATCATACCTTGAGAATACGAGTCATAAATGATGTGCCATTCAACGACAACGCTCGTTCAGCTGATTCTTTGTGTAAGAACTCTACATAGGCAGACCTGTATGATAGCAGAAAGGACTCATTGAGTTCTCTACTTCTCTTCAAGAAATATACAAATATTTCTGAGTTCACAATTAAGTCCCTTGCAGTGACATTCAACCATAATTCAGCTCAAAAACATCAATTCAAGAATTCAAACTTGAACTGCACAAATTACATCTGCTACGAGCAATCAAATAGAGGGGCTTATGTAATATAATCAATTATTATAAATTTAATGCTCATGCTCATTGAAACACTCAGAAGTTTAGTGTAGTATGGTATAAAATGTCCTGACAGATCATATTCGGATTTTTGGCCATTGGGAAATTATCTACTGCTATAACTTGCAAATATACAAATGTGTCATATTGAAAACCTTACCAGTGTCCTAATAAACAAATTACTTCCAAAAAGGGAGTATTTTGTTTTGACCCTTTTCCTTTTATTGTTTATCAGAATTTTTTTGGTTATCTAGAGACAAAATGCACATTATTCTCTTAGAACTAAGTTAATCTCAGCATGAAACAAGGGTGTTAGCATCATAGGAATTGGTGGGTGTGGTCATAGGAATTGGTGGGTGTGGTGATTGTATAATGTATCAGTTATGCTAAGATCTTTTGTAATTTCACTTTCCTAAAATTATAGATCTTCTGGTACAGGTAAAATAAATAGCATGATACAAATCTAGCCTCAGCTATAATAAGCATTAAAATTTAAAATTAAACTGACCCTGTTGGCTGGCCCGTTGCAGCATTAGTGACAATGACTACTTTCAGCACTGCACCAAACTTGTTGAAATGGCGAGATAATGAGTCCTTGGTGGCAGCAAAGTGAACCTTCAAATAATTTGACAGAGGTAAATAAAATAATCCAATGGCACAAAATAATATAAGGGTGATGAGAATACATAAATACCCACATTGCTAACATAAAGCGTTCTCGAATCTGCATCCTCCGTCGGATGCGCTGTACTATAGGAAACCGGAACTGCAAAGATGACAAGATATATTATACCAAGCGATAAAATGACACTGTCTTCAGATTAACCCATTCCTATTTATGATTGATCGTAACAATGACTTGCACAGACTTTGCTGTACTAGTAACTGCACTTTTTTTCTTAGGTAAGATGATGGAGAAAGGGCAACATAGGTGATATTACAGCAGGAAAAGCAACAAGGGTTTTTAATCCCATGCAAGTTGGGATGTGGTAAAATAAAAATGGTGGACTAAATAGTGTATTACTGCACATTTCAGTTTGACACAAAACTAACAGGAACGATCAGATACAGTCAACCAGACGGAAGATTGGCATGTATCATTATGAGCAGATCAGCAGATGAAAGGAAAAAAACCATAAGTGGATCTTATATTAGTAGATATATGTGGCATACCAGATGGTGCAGACCGCTGAGAATCCTTTTGAACTTCTGCATGGCCTAATTCCTGAATGAAAGTTGGCATCAGTCAGAAGCAAATTTACCCAAGGATTAGCCCATACATCTATAAATTGCCAGGGCATATACCCACAAGACAAGAAAAATGATCATATGAAATAGAAAAGAAAAGTAATGAACATCATAGTCAACAATATGCATGGAAGATGACATGACATGCCATTTTGTTTAATGGCTGAGAGCATATACAACACTAATAGGAGATGCCAACAACTGCTTTTTTTCCATCCAATGTTTCTTTTGCTGGAAGCAAATGAAAACAAGCATTCACATGCCCCAATTTAGTTCAGTAGAAGTACTGGAAAATCAGATAAACAATTCTGAATTTACATGATTACCCATGTCCCAACTGCTCTGCCATTTCATGAAGTAGCATATACAACTGCTAATTAGCAAGGAAAGGTTCCAAGGAAAAGCTCAACCTTGCCTTAGGACTTGATTATGAACTGTAAAAATCTATAGTCACCAAAGTCAAAAGGACATCTGGTAGAAATCTTAAGCATATATAATACAAACCTGACTGAAATGCAAGAAAATGGGTGACTCAAGATGTGGGAAGAAATTTAAACATAAAACTTGTTTTTTCAACATACAAGGCTGCTTACTTTGGCATTGGTAGCCACACTGGTGGCATTTGAATTCATGGGCGTAACATAAGGCTTCTCCACAACATGAACATCTTTTGGTGTTTCATAACTGGGAGGTTCCACCATATTTACATCAACAGAAACAGCCACAGCTTTACTTGCGGTTTTTGTTGATGAAGGAACAGGTTGCACCTCATCATTCACACTTGAGGGACTTATTGCACGAGTCTCTGGTTCAACATTGCATTGTGCCGATACAGTTTTCTTCTCTGCAAATGGTGAGAAAGTATCTTCATGTGAAAGAGAAGTTTGGTATCTTGTAATCCCCTCATCTTGGTCCATATCATCTTCAGAGCTCGAATCAACATTCATTCCAGCTACCCTATCTGCCATGGTCAGCTCTCCAGATTCCTCTTCAGATTCCACATTATTAACATATAGATCGGAATCATGTTCATCTGCGGTCGTAACTGGCTCAAAATCTTCATAATCTCTCTTCTCTTCACGAGAACGAGATGGCTGTTTCACAACATTCCCTTGACCCAATCGCTTGAAAACACTTCCAGTAGATCTAACCTTTGTAGAATCTGCAGCAGCTTCCGCTGCAGCTCTAAAACTAAAGCAGCTCCTTGTACCTGTAGCATCGGCCTAGTTCTTTCTGATCTTCTGTCACTCAAGTTGTCTTGAGATCTTTCTGATCTTCTATCGTTCAGGTAGTCCTGAGATCTTTCTGATCTCCTATCATGTTCTCTGCAGAAGTAGTGGCGACTACAGACCGCAGACGCTTGGATGCTGGTTCAGCAGAGGTGCTGGTTGGCTGTACAGCTTTTACTGCATCTCGAACAGCAAACTGTAGAAGACGACGGGAAGCACCACCACCAAGCATGGGGCGTGATGAGACGTCTCTCTGTTAACAAAAGAAAACAAGGCTGATTGTAGAGGTCATAGTACCTAAAATAGTATAAGTAAATTTTGAAGTAAGGAGCAATAGAATACAGTAGAGGAGAAAATATGTGAGTGGACCAATAAAGGGCTTAGAGAGAATCAGTGTGATGCTCATCCCTAAGCGGTCAGCAGTTCAAACAAGCAATTTCCTTATCCAAACTTGGTACTCCAAATTATAAGTCGTTCTGGCATTTCTGAGTACATAACTCCTATTATGTATCTAGACATAACATATAAATCTAGACACAGCAAAAACAATGTACCTCGAAAAAACAGAACGACTTATAATTTAAAACAGAAGGGGTACAAAATATTCACAGAAATTCTACAAGATAAACTAAATGGACTGCCTACTCAGAGTTCTCCAAAATTCCAAACTAACAAGAACTGTAGCTTTGTCGGTTGTTTCTAATCAAGAAACCCCAGCGTACTTATACTGAAGATAAACTGTTTAAACTCACATTGCACATTCATGATGAACAATATTTGGTCTGTCAGTTGCCAATAAATAATTAAATATTGGTAGGGAATTCATTGTTGGAAAATGGTAATTAATAAATAATTGGTAAGGACTTAATTGTGGGAAAATGGTAATGCTATAGTTTCCACCTCATGTTTGCAAGTTGCAACTAATTTAGAGCTAAGAGAGTCTTGGTAAGTCCGAAGTGGAGAAATATAGATGAACACTTAGGCATAGTGCATAAATAATATGTGAGCAAAGGCAGGACATAAAAGAACAGAACAGACAGAGATATTGGTAAAGTAAAAAATATATAAAGATAAGCACAATGTTGCCAACTTGCCGTCAACTCTGTCAACAACATAACATGTTATGTAGTTTGCAGTTGTGACCTAGGTAATAGGTAATACATCACACCTTTGTTTGCTGTGGCTCGTCATCCCTGTCACGCTTTATGCCGTTTTGTTGTTTTGGAGGGTGTCGTATTTCATTGGACTTTTGTGATCTTTTCTCCTCCCCATGAAGAATATCAGTTAGTACATTTCGAAGTGGAAATTTTTCATTACCCTCCCGACCAATTCCTTTCCATTCCCGTTTATTCCGTCTCCTAGTACTGGCTGCACTTGATTCAATTGTGTGCTCAGAATGAGTTTGACATTTGCTTCTCGGGAGCACATCTGATGATTTTTCTCTTCCAGATACTTCTTTGGGGGCTTCATCATCCTTAACCTCCTGAGTTTCTTGTGCTTGCACATATAAGTGCATATTTAAAGAAAGATGGTCCCACAACCTACAAAAGCAAAACGATATGAGTGTAGATTCGTTTAACACGTGATTGAGATGATATGAAAGCCAACCAAGAATATCTTTCTCTCTTCTAGCCATTCTTGCTGATGCATATGAAATATGATGCTGAATCAACTTGGGAGATATGCATTACCGTGGACTGTTTGCCAGGGAAAGATGAGAGTACACATTTATCCGTGTTTATGTAAGTTTCGAAAGTAAAAGTAGTTCTGATGTTCTCATTTCCATTTGCTGTTAAAAACTTATAGCAGTCTCCACAATGTGATTTCAATAAATACACTGCATGAATTCAGAAGAAATGTGTGAAAAGAATACAAGAACAATGCAAGTTTGTGCAATCAGTACTAACCAGGAAATGAATGCAGCAGTATCATCCCCTAGAAATACATGGAGTTCGTTATGGCGAGATCTTACGTTTTCCATTCTTGAGCATGATAGTAACATATTCCTGCACTTAAGACAGCAAAAGAGGTCCACTTATTGTTTTCTTGAAATATCCCAACATAATAAAAACGTAATACTAGGATAAGATAATGATGGCGATTGCAAAAAGTTGGTACACGGCAATCAAAAGTATTACTCCCAGTAAATCAAAATACAATGCCATTTCAGAGTTGTGCACAAGGATTAAGAAAGTTAGTAGAATGACCTTGTTGCCCTTTATCTACACTGGAAAACGGGGTCATTTATTTATGAGAAATCAAGAAAGGGCGAAAAGAGCAAAGATATCTAGAACTAGAAGTTCCAGGAAGAATAAAATGACATCTGTTTTCAATCAGAGGAAGTATACATAAATAATGTAATCCATGTATTGTGATGCTTCTTCAGAAAAGACAAACACCAGACCTGGATTGTTTCATCATTCACTAAAGACAGGGAAAAGCATAACAACAGACTTTTCATAGGTTCCTTTGCTCCAACAGTGAAACTGCATACAACACTGTTTTCTAGGGAAGTTTGAGCGCTCTTCACTAATAGTATTAATTTAAGACTAAAAGTATATGAATAGTGCAACTGTGATGAATAGAAAAGGTAGTAAAGACTCAGTAGTAATAGCATATGTTAACACGCAAGGATAGTAAACTCATTCAACCTTATCATGGTATACCGTGCTTGAAACAAGTATTACATTTCGTTGCATCAAAAACACGCATAGATAACATGCAACACTTGTGAACTGGATAACCAATTAGGCTGGGCACTTTTGAGCCGAGAACCGTAACCCAACCCGAACGGTTTTTTTCAGTTCTCAGTTTTGGCTTCGGTTACAGGTTTGGATTGGTTCAGGCTTTGGTGCCAGTTTTTACACAATGAGAACCGAACACCGATCAAACCGACACCAGGCCTGGCCCAAGGCCCATCACGTGGACAACCAGTCGAGCAACGAAAAGTAATCTCGTGAGAGTTGGTGAACCACTCTGGCCGTCCGCCGTCTCCCATCTCAGATTACCGTTCTTCCTCATCTCTCTTTTCTCAAATCTTGATCCCTCCACAAGTGGACAAAATCACTCCAGAGCAGCAAATCAGAAGCGCAAGGCTCAGCCTTGCTGGTTGCGGATACCTGCAGCACGCAGCAGCACGTTCGTTCGATGGCTAGCGGCGGCGTGTTTCAAGGGCATACTGTAGTGGCCGGCAGCGGTGACAGTGCGGGCTATGGAACCAGTAAGTGCAACAAGTGTACCGCATGGGCGAGTGGCGAGTGTCATCCACGCAAGCAAGCTACGGCCAACGAGCCTGCAAGGAACGGCAGCACCCACCAGGTAGGCGATTTTGAAATCTAGGTGAACATCTGAATCTCGGTGAACTTTGGTGAAAACCCAACCCCAAACCGAACAAACCAAGCCGAACTCCTCGGTTTCTCTGTTATCCTCAGACCGATCAGTTTCAGATCCTCTCCAAACCGAAGTTCGTGCATGCACGAACAACAGAACCGAAGTATCGGTTTAAACCGATTGCCCACTCTGATTTGTAATGTACATTTGTCCACCTGAGGCAGAGCTAATTCACAAACAAGTTTGCATGCCCAACTAAAAATATTGACTAGTGAAGCAGCAACAAATAATATCCATTCTACAGTTTGATAAAATGGTCATCAAGTACTATGACAGTTACTGAACCAGTACAAACTAAGGCATGCTTCAATTAGACAAACACTTCATATTCATCCTGATTTGCAAATCCTGCTAAGTGAACATAGTGAGCACACTAAGTTGGAAAATACAGACAGCAGTCAGCCTAAACAAACGAAAACTGCAGCCATCACATAGCAAAAGCTGCAGGCCCATGAGATCAATGACATTAGACTACTGAATGATTCCAGCAATAGCTGTTGTATGCGGGGCTACACTGAACAAAAACACAGGGCACAGTCGCGTAACTTGCAGAAGTCATCTCGAATTCTAGCCAGTCCTACATACTGTTACGTGTTAATAGTTCGACCAAAATCCTGAAGCTGCAGAGAACCCAAGTCCCCAAACAACCGAAATCAACCGCTAAGACCAGAAGCTAGCGAGTAGGAGATGACAGAAGGAAATCGTACCACGAGGGTGTCGTCCACGTCCCTCTTGAACCCGCGCAGCTTCTCCCTCACGAGCTCCCGGAACTGCTCCTCTCCGGCGGCGGTGAAGCCGACCTTGAAGGTGAGGGTGTCATCGTCCGCCTCGTCCATCGTGGCGGAGGCTTCCAGAACCCCTCCCCACGCAACCCTAGATCCACCAGGAAGCGGTCCCGGGGCCGAGAGGAGTGGGGGCGAAAGGAGGGCGGGTGGCGGGCGGGCGGCCGCCTTATCCGAACCGCTGCGGGGTGCGGGAAGCTTCAGCGACGTGGCGGAGGGGAATAGACTCGCCGGCAAGCGGCGGCGACGCGTGGAGATTGGGGTGGACGACGGGGCTGGCTGGACTGCGAGAGGCCAGGCGAGATTTTATTGGGTTTTTGTTTGGGCTTGTCGTGGGTTTCTGTTGCCTTTGCGTGGGTTGCGTGTGCCAGGTAGGACGGGTGGTTTGGCCAGGAAACTGAGCACGATTTGATGGCCGTCGCTCATCTGCTTATCTGACATTTTGGCCCCGGTGATTTCGCTGAAATGAGGCTTATGTTACTGTTTACATTAAAATGTTACGGGAAAAAAATATTATTCGTTCGATGAAAGTACTGCTAAAGTTTTTTTTTTTTAAACCGTGCAATCATTAAGAGGAAACTAGACTGTCAGCACATGGTTGTAGCGCGTGTCGAGATGACGAGGCGCACAACGAACACAAAACAGAAATCGCCGGCTAGACGGCGCAGCTACATGGTTGTATTGAAAAGGAAATCATTTGGCGACGTGAGGACCAGCCGAGGCGTGGGCTAAGAAATGGCGACGACGAACGGCGCAAGGCCGCCAAACCCAGCCTGGAGGAAAAGCCTTGATTTCGTCGTGAACCGAATTGAGCACTTGTGAGGACGTCGCGGCGACGTTGTTGAAAGTCCGGTTGTTGCGTTCCTTCCAGACGACCCAGGCGACGGTGAGTACCACAGAGTCGAAGGCGCGCCTGAACGCGGGCGGCAGCTGTTCCCGAGCTGTCAACCACCACACCGTCAGTGTTGAGTCGTTCGTACGCGCCAGGTGCTGCAGGTCGGCCCTGGATAGAAGACGGGCCCAAATCTTCACGCGTGAACGGACAGGCGGTGAGTGGGTGGTCCGTCGTCTCGTCGGCCTGATCGCAGAGGGCGTAGGCGGCCAGTGGCTGCAGTCCGTGGCGTCTGCGGCGGTCCTCTGTCCATAGGCAGCCATGGAGGGCCAGCCAAAAGAAGAACTTGAGCTTGGGCGGCACGGCAGCCCGCCAGATCAGCCTGGCCCTCGGCAACGCGACGGTGCCGAAGAAGAACGCTCGGTACGCAGACGACGCGGAGTAGACACCATCAGCGGTCCACTTCCAGACGAAACGGTCGGAGACGAGCGGCGATAGTTGGACGTTCTCCAAGGTATCCCATAGGTCAACGTACTCGCAGAGCACTGCAGTCGTCGGAGCCCCCGAAATGTCCCTAGCCCAGCGGTGGTCGTGGCGCAGAAATGCAGATGGGGCCGGTCGGCAACCAGGAGTCCGTCCAGAACTGCGCCGAGGCGCCATCACCGATTACGATTAGGACGGAGACGGATGCCCTGAACATGCTGTCCACCTTGCGCTCAGGCCTAGACGGCAGCGATGCCCAGTAGGCGTCCGGCTGCGTCCGACGGCGCCACTCCCAGCGTAAGCGCAATGCGAAGCCGAGAATTGTGAGGTCCGGCAGGCCCAGTCCTCCGAGCTCCTTGGGGGAGCAAACAATAGGCCACGTGATCCTGCATTTGCCGGCCGCGACCGACTCCGTGACAGCCCAAAGAAACGCACGCCGGCGTTTGTCGATGTCTTCGATCGCCTTGGCCGACAGGCAGCAGCAAACGGAGATATGAACCGGGATCGCGGACAGTGTGGACTGTGTCAGCGTCGCCCGGCCCGCATTCGTGAGCAGCCCCGCCTTCCAGGTAGGAATTTGAATTTGGGCCGCAACCTTATCAACAATTGCCTATTCCTGCGCACGTCCCAGCTTCCCAGGTAGACGGTAGGGAACTCTTGGACACGGCAGGGGAAGACCGCCAGCACCTCCTGGAGCATGTCGTGTGAGCAGCGAATTGGCGACATGGCCAGGTCCACCTTGAGTAGCACCGTGGGGTGGCGACGGGCGTTGAGCCAGCGGCACGTGAGCTGCACGGCTCTGAAGTTTTCGTGTATCTGCCGGCCGTGGATGAACACAGACTGGTTGCACCGGACAATGCTGGGCATGAAGGGTGCCAGCCGTAGAGCGAGGCCTTTGGCGATCAACTTGCCGACGGAGTGAATGAGGCTAATCGGCCTGTAGTCCCTGAGGCCAGCTGGGGTGGTAGTTTTGTGCAACAAAACCATCATAGCCTCGTTTAGGAGGATAAGGCTCCTGAAATCAAGGTCCCAGAACGCGTGGAAGACTCGTACAACGTCGTCGCCTACAATGTTCCAGGCCGCCTTGAAGAAAGCATCGGAAAAACCATCGGGTCCGGGTGCTCGGTCTGACGGCGTCTCCCGGACGATCATGGCGACCTCCTCTGCCGTGAACGGCGCCTCCAGCGCCTGAAGGTCGAGGTGAGGGAGGCCCAGCTGGTGCAGATCAATACGGTGACGACGTGTGAATGGTTGACCCAGCAGGCCGTTGAAGAAGTTGAACACTAGCCCAGCCTTGGCCTCCTCCTCGCTGAATGTTTGTCCGTCGTGCGCGATGGTGAGTAAATAGTTTTTCCTCCTCCGGTGGCAGGCCTGCAAGTGGAAGTATCTTTTGCACGCGTCGCCCTCCTTGAGGTTACGTGACCGGGCCCGTTGCCTTGCCATGGTACGTTCCAGGGACGCGAGGCCAAGGATGTTACCCTTGAGCTCGCGTCGGAGGCCAATCTCACCGGCAGAAAGGGGGCGGGACGTACTCCTCCGCCAGGTCAAGCTCGAACACACACGACGACCCTGGCCGCGGAGAGCTGCAGTCGAATATATGTTGCCAACACAGGACTCCCGCCAGCTCTTCAGTGTCTTGGCCACCGCCCGTAGTTTGTGGTCGAGACACCTGCAGGCGTCGGCACCGTGCAGCTGGGCATTCCAGGCCACGGTGACCCGATAAGTCGACCTCTACCAGTGAGAGATCATCGAGGAGATCCCGGAAGCGACGCATGGTGCCAGGGTGCAGCCTGCCGTTGTTCTTGTTCACCGCCATGTAGATAAAGTTGAAGTCGCCGCAGATAAGCCACGGCCCTGGGCAAGACGAACGGATGGCGCGGAGCTCAAGTAGGAAGTCTGGCCTGTCCCTCCTGTCTGTCGGCCCGTAGATGTTGGTTAGCCACCACGGGCCTCCATGCCCGTTCAACGGTGATAGGGACACCGTGATAGAGAAGCGGCGCACTGAAGGCTGGGAAGCGGCCCAGAGGTCACGTCGCCAGGAAGTCACCACACACCACCCGCTGCACCGATCGCTGGGAGACAGAGGTAGTCGTAGTCTAACCCAGAGATGTCACAGTTCAAGGTTACAGAGAAGTTCACAGTTTTTTATTCCTGCAGACAGACGATCGAGGCACGATGCTGCTCAACGATGCTCCTGCGTGCCCGGCTGTTAAGGCCGCGCGCGTTCCAGACTAAGAGATGATTGTCACTCATGGTGGAACCAAGTAGACGACGACGGACATGCCCGACTAGAACAGGCGCGCCGCAGGCCGGTGCCCGTGGCCCACGTGCCTGGGGACTAGCTCACACAAGGCAGCCCGCTTGGAGGAGGAGAGCGGCGTCGTGAAGGTCTCGCGGAAACGCAAAGCGATAGCGTCGTCTGGCGTTGTCGGTGTACCTTGCGGCCGCCTCGTCCACTTGGCCATCAACACTCGCTTCGCCTGCTTCTCTGCCTGAGGGTCGCGGAAGTCGGATTCGGCGGCGAGGCGGCTGCTGCCTCATCGCTGGCCTTCGAGGTCCAGACGTGCGGAGTGTGAAGCAGTGGCTCCACAATTGGCAGACGAAGGGAGTCGGCGAAAGACACCGCTGGCGTTGGCGTGGGCGGTGCGACATCCGGCGCCGGGGCCGCGGGAGCTTCAGAAGCTCTGGGCTGTCTAGGCGGACAAGCGCTGGGCTGGCCAGGCTCGAACTCATCAAGCCCCCCAAGCTATCGCAGGCCAGGGAGGCCACGGGCGGCCCTCCCGTGGCCCAAATCGGTAGCGCGGTAGCAGGCATGTCCTGACCGAGGGCACGGCCAACGATCCCTGACAAGCAGCACGGGGGCGAGCGGTCAGCAGGTGGGCAGAGGTCGAAGGGGTGCACGCGCAGCAGGTTTTCACTGTGGCTGACAGCTTTCGTTGGCTCGGGCAGGGTGGCTTCAGACCACATTGGGTCGTGCGAAAGCTGTGAAACAGGAGTTGGCGTGCAAGGGCGCCAGGCGCCGAAGTCAAATTCGTCAGCCATTGTGGTGGCGACACACGTCCCCATCCTGAGACACGGCGGGTGAGGCACGTGATGCCAGGGCAGGGGCTGTGTGCCTCGCGCAGGGGGCAGGGCACCTCCCCACGAGCACAGCGTCGCCGGCAGCGCAGCGGCCCGGCGAGAAGAACAGAGTAGAACGGGCAGCGGCCCCCCTCCGGTGGTGGGTCGGCGCCAATGCAGCGGTCGAAACCGGGGTGGCGACGGCTGAAGTTGCTGTCCGCCGAGCCATCGTCGTCACTGTCCCTCCTGGGCGAGAAGCCCTCGTCAGGGGACGTGCCCCACGAGGAGCCACCAGCGCCAGCGCCAGCGTGGCCGTGGTCACCACCGTCCGTGTCGCCAATCGGCCCATCCCCATGGCCACCCCCACCAGGCGATGCCGGCGGCGTGCTCCAGTTCTCGAACGCAACAAGACGGATACGAACGAGATACCGTAGTCCCGGAAGCTCCTCCGAGGAGGCCTCAACGGATTGCCAAATCGTGGCTCGGGGATGAAGATCACCTGTACGTCCGGGATGAAGCTCGGGTCGAGGCACCAAGCTACGACGAAGAATTCTTGGTCATCCTCCGGCGGGACGTCGCGCGGCGCGCACGACATCAATCACCGCGCAGTTGGGTCCGAGAATGGTCTGCGCCATGGCCACGCTGAGTGCGTGCAGGGGCACCCGCCGCAGGCCGACCA